GTATGAGTCGTACCCAATAATAATTATATTTAAAAAAACATGGGCCACCTTTTTTGGTTTGAGACAAGTCTACATTTAAGACCTTCCAGCATTTATACCAACTTTCCAGTGTTGGTAGCAACATGTGACAACTTACAACTTAGATCTTGTCACGCAATGCCTGTTGATGAGCATTTTCCAAGATGAACCTGATGAAGATTCGAGTCCAAATGTTTTCCAGAAGGAAAAGGATGAGATAGGCACCTTCCTTTTCCAAGATGAGGGAGAAGAGAGCGCACCAGCCCCTTCTGCAAATACATCTATGGGCCCACGGCAGACCAAAGACCTTAGAGTCTTGCATGATGAACCAGATGAAACGTTGGAGCCGAACATGGGGCTTTTTGCAGATGAACAGGATGAAGTTGGCTCAGATTCCACCGAATCTGCATACCTAGCAGACTGTGAGGATGACTGCTCTGAACACCAGCAGCAACTTGTTGTGCAGCAACTGAACTTGAGCTTCTCAACCTTGAACCAGTTTTTGTCTACGCAACTTGGTTTTCATCAAGCACGGTCACAAGAACAACCACGAAAGAAGCGATGCTACAACAATCAACGCCGGGCAGCACAAGCAGCTGAGTCCAAAAGGCAGCGGCAATTGTATGCTGGCAGCAAAAAAAAGCAGGTGCCACGAAACAATTTGGTTCCTGGGTGCTGTGCTTTGGAATTGTTTTTAGTTACCTTTATTTGACTTTGTTTTTGATCATTTTTGGCGCGGCTAGTGATAATCCCATCATGTCATAGGTTTGCCAAGCAGCATTGGGTGTCTTTCTTTGCCAGGAACGCCTCACCTCCTTATTATCTGGAAGATGCAGTTGTGCAGCTGGAACTTGCTTTGAAGGGTTCAAGTTGGCAGATGTCCAAGCTTTTCTGGACGCATTTCAGGCAATGTCAAAGCGGGATCAAGATGCTGCATTGTTTTTGGCAGTTCCAAAAGGAGCATCACGGCGTGAGTTTGTCTTCCTGAGCCAGCCCATGAGGCGAGCTTGCTTCGAGAAGCTCCTTGGAATAAGCTCGCATAGAACAGACCGCAGTGGAGCAGTTGATATGAGATATGGAAACCATCAAAGGCCATCAACTCATCATGCAAGCATTGATTCCTTTGCAATGATACTGTACAACTCCATTGCAGAGCATTTGCCTGACCGGCTTCTAGGGCTGAAGATTGGCATTTTGTTAGCGACCCCATGTTTAGGTTGATCTGTTTGGCTGCTCTTTGCGTTACCTGAATGTTTTATCTGCTTTGTTCATGTGAGGCTTGTTCGCAATGGCCCAGCAAGAAGGAAGCGAGGAAGCAAACCTCCTGAAGCGTTGTCTGATTCTGACAGCCAGCATGGTGCTTGCATGCTGTCAGAGTTTGAGGATCAGGATGGTGATTTGGCAGAATACCTACAAGCAAACACATCATTCCTTATGGCCATGCAAAGCACCAAGGCCTTCACAGTTTCACGGATGTGCATCAATAGTTTCTTTTTCCTTGGCCTTTGTGTTGTCCTCAGGAAATTTTCATGTGCATGTACAGTAACATTCTTTAGCAGAATGCAGCAACCAGGATCTCTCGAAGCTTTCTCGGAAGTTTTTACCCCCTGGCACCATCTATGAAATTTATCAGTTCTATTGTGGTTGGTGCTCAGCACATGGCATTGAGTCACAAGCATCGCAGCTTTGCCAATCTTTAGAACTTTTGTTGCTGCCCTTTCTTCACTTGACAAGTTTTGTTGACAGTGGGTGCCAACTTCCGTCATCTCAGGTACACCACATTTTTACGACGTTGGAATTTGAAATGGACCCTGATCCTCAAGTTTCGAGACAAATCGTTTTTTTCACAATGTGATGTTTGCCAAGAGCTGAAGCAGCAGATCCTTGGATTAGCTTGGAGTCCATCTGATTGATTATGTTATATATATAACTATAGTATCTTTGGGTCTTCAGTTTTCAGAAAGATTTTGAGTTTGATTTTGCCATTGCAAGGTTTCAAGACCGAAGCCTCAACATGAATGTGCGCCTTGGTGCACTCAAATTGTATCGAAGGCACCTGACAGATCAATATTCTGACCGATGCGCTTTTTGGTCACTCCGTGACATAAGCGCCGGCAAAGCTGCCAAAACAATAACATTGATCACGGATGGGGCCGATCAGGTTCTTTGGGAACATATGTGACAGTTTTTATTTTCCTGTGGTGGAATGCTTCTGTCCTCATTGCCCATCATTGTCTGGTCTGTTCTTAGTGTGCTTCAACTTAGGCCAAGTACATGGTACCCAGAGACCCCATGCTCCGCTCCGCATATCGAACCAGCAAGCTGCAGAGACCCAAATTGAAGATCCATGGGGCATGGGCCTTTGGCCATGTGCTGCGGTTGGCAATACTAGAGGAAACCACCTACCATGGATCAAGCATGGTGTGGGAACTCATTGCTTCAACGATTGATGATGCCATGCAGCAGCGCAAAGAGCTCCAACTGGCAGAGCCAGACACTGTGATTGTGGTCGGTGATAACACTGTGAAGGAGCTAAAGAACACCGTGTGTTTGATGGGGTTGGCAAATTGGGTGAACCATCGCCGTTTTCGGTTGCTGGGCTTACTTCAAGTCCTTATCACTGTCTTCCTTTAGTCAGTCTTATGACATCCTGTGACATCTTGTCCATTGTAAAGAGGAACCAGGATGGAGAAGTTCACATGTTTTCCAAGGTTTACTTGTGCCATGATGATGCGAATTTCGCACACCCACGATGTGATCGGAATCTTGGTTTCCCAACGCCCAACGTATCTTTTTTTTGTTTTTTGGAGCTTAGACAATTTGGGATTGTTTGTGGTGGAAACTTCTTTGCCAGCAACTTAGACCAACTGTTTGGCGTACTATCAAGACGGTTGTCACGATCCTCAAGCATGGTCGATGCAGACTCAGTTTGCCAGATCCTAGAGGATGAAGTCAAGAAGCCGTCCCTGCAGAAGTGGGTCAATGCAAAGATCATCGTAGGCGTTGTGAGACGGTATAGGAACTGGAAAGCTCACAATGTGGAGAACTGCCCAGTCCAGTTGGAGACTTTGTTGTAAAAAACAGATATTTCTGAGAGTTGGTGATTTCTTTTTTTGGGGGGATACGTTGTTGTCTGGATCATTAACTCAGGAAGGTGGCCTGCTGCTTGATGCTACTGCAAACCACTTCTACTTCTTTGCACGGAGACGAGGCTGAAACCATGAGTTAACTTACCTTTTACCAAAGAGGAAATGCCTGTGACTGTTTGACATCTTTGCACAGCCCCTGGCAGATATTCCGGATGACATCGAATGCAACGAGGGAACAAACCGCAGAAGGGGGAAGGACCCAGATGATGTGATGGTGTGCGTGAAGGAATACATTTCTTCACCGGAATTCAGGCAACAGCCGATGCTGGTCCTAACGCCTGATAACCAAGCCCGGTTCACTCTTGTAACAAACAGACGCTCAGATCTCCATTTTGTTGAATGTTTTCTTGGCTTATTATGGTATGTTTTATGTTTTGGTTGATATTAAATATGTCAAAGTATATTATATATATAATTACAGCATATTCTTCTCCCATGTGCCTTCGCCAACTCAGGAGAAATGCCTTTGAAGCAACTGAACCCAAAGGTCTTGAAAGACTGGAGAGACTTGGCTGCTGCATTCCGAACTTTGCTTGGTGGGTCCAATGTTTGCCAGCAAGCAGCAAATTACTTGATTGCATTGGCAAACAACCAGCTTCCCCTTGGAGCTCTACACCCTCTCACATGGCACCAGGAGAACAGCCCTGTACAGGTTGTCTTGCAAGCTAGGCAAGAGCCACACCCGGTGGTTCTTGCAACTTTGGTTCCGAGTGTGCCTTTGAGAGCTGTATGGAGGCGACACAGATAGACCACTCACAACTTTCACTGGACTCACAAGGCAATGGAAAAGGGAAGTTCACAAGACAGTTGACTTGAACATTTGTTGAAGGTTTGTGCTTAGTCATCATTCTGAGGTTGAACCTTGCTCAGCAAACTAAACGCCAGCGCTTGCAAGCTGGAAACAATTGCTTTGCTGGGAGTGTTCAGGGGTGGGCTTTGTTCAGTTTTGGTCAGGGTTTGGTTTTTGGGTAGGGGTTACTGTATGGCCTTTGGATGAGTCTTGGGGACAAGATCTCAAATAAAGTTGCAGCCAAATATTCCTGAAAACAACATAACAGTAATGTGACACACGATTTTTGATCAGACCTACGACGACTTGCCGATGACTTAGCGACTAAAAGTTCGTTGTCGTCCAGGGGGCTGACATCAAAAGCCTAGCTCAGCAGTCATACACCCACACCAAGTCGAACAGTTTCAACGGCGAATGAGTTCATTGTAGGCATACTTTTCTTTATGTCGGTTTTTGTTGCTAGGGGGCCGAACAACGACGAACTTCCGATGACTTAGCGACTAGAAAGTCGTAGTAGGGTGGAACCAACGACGAGCCCCCAGTGACTCCAAGAGTTTGAACACCCCACCAACGATTTCATCACCAATGACTTCATCATCTATGGCCTCCACCAACGATTTCCAAAAATGGCCTCCACCAACGAATTCCAAAAATGGCCTCCACCGATTTCATTTGAGAACCCTACCAAGGATTAAATAAAGGGTCCATCAACAATGTTGCCATCCTCCAGGATTTTTTGAGTTTAGGACTTTGCAGCTGATTGGGGTACAGGGGCTGAGAGCATCTTCAGCACAGTGGGGGGCCATGGAGTCTCCCATGCTACGAGCTGGGGTAGCTGCTGTCAATGCTGCCTTGGCTGTTGCAACACCTAAAAAGGATGAGAAGTCTGAGCCTGATGCTTCATCAGCAAACCAGATGACGACTCCACCAAAGGAAGAGGCAAAGGTAGCTAGCTGTTGGTTTGAAAGTTTTCTTCTGTTGTGCTATATGGTTTGTTCTTATTCAGTGAATGTCTTGGACCTGACTATTTTTCATAAATTCAGGTCAGCATCAAGGCGGAGCAAGACAGTGCAAAACGTCGCAAAACCGAGTGGCATGCTGGATTGCAGAAAATGCCAGGTGACACCACGCTGTGCAAGGAGTTTCATGTGCTCACCAACAGTCACCATGCTGTCATTGTTGGTTATGTTTGATGAACCTGTTGTTATGCAGGAGATATTGGACTACTTGTCGATGTTCACTGATCCTACCGAACAAGTGAGTGGAGACCAATCAGCCTCAGCACGGGTTCACCCAGCAGATCTTGTGCTTGAAGCTTTCAAGGACGAGGAGACCACGTATCTCACCACCCAAAAGATCCACACGTTCCTGCAGGAAGCCCATGCAGTTCATGGGAAGAAGTTTGAGATGGCTGCATGGCCTGCCTCTTGTTTGTAGTTTGGCAACACGTGCTCTTGACTCTTTGTGGCTATGGTTCGACCATTTCCGATGATTGCTTTTCTTACACAAACACTCTCAGGATTTGGAAACCGTTGAAGCAAATATGGTTGGCATGAGGCGAATTTCGGTTCCGCTGACTTCCATCGTTCTGCAACGCCCAGATGATGGCCTCCCCTGTATTGGGGACTGGCTGACAACAGCCATCAGTTTCATGTTCTCAGGATCCCGACTGGGCAGGGAACCTTTGGACCTCAACGCTCACGTCATGAAGTCTGATGGGGCCTTTTTGTTCATCAAGAAGGGATTCACGCGCTTGATTATTGGCATCACATTTAATCATGTTTGCTATGGTCTTGGTATTTGCTGCTGCTATCGTTTTGATAAACTTTCTTTTGTGCCCAGTCCATTCTGCAAGGACTGCTCCACTCTTATTCTTGCTGATTGCTTCAGACATTGACCCTGTTGCAGGGAAGGACTGTGTGGCAAGAAATGTGTTAATTCGGTTCATGAGGCAGTGCCAACTATGAGATCTCATGAATAGTAACATGCAGGACTTGATCCTGCCACTACTTCCAGCATTCAGTGAGATGTTCAACTTGCCCGTGAATGTCTCCGTGACTACTGATGCTGAAATGGTATCATTTGATTCGATTCAACTGTCAGCACAAGGGTCTGAGCGACAGAAGAAAGACGTGCCTGGATGAAAGTCAGCGATGATTGTCAAATAGTTTTAAAGGCGCTATGCTTGTTTGTTTGTTTGGCTGGTTGATGTGATTCCAGCCTAGATTATGAAATGTGCCCTGCGCTTCGAGAAGCTCATCCTGGAGCGTCGCCTGACCGAATCTTGCAGGGATTCCAATGACCAGGAATTGCTCCAAAGCATCGTGAACCGCTACAACGGGTACAAAGCCACAGCGGCGCTGCGGAGGTGGCAGATTGGTCCTGACATGATGTCTGCGATGTTGGCAGTGATTTGCGGCATGACCAGTGAGTCCAGAGACCTGGTCAGGATGCATTTAGACCACAACAAGTTTGATGAGAGTGGTTGCTTGGTTTTGGCTGCAATATGTTCACATTCTCAGAATTCTTGCACATGAGTTGTTGAACATGTAGCTGATGAAGTCCATTCTTGAGGCTACAACGAGAGCCTTCTGCGTTCCAAACGCCATCAACTGAATCAGTCACCACGTGGAGTAGGTCAATTTTGGCAAGACCTCCTCACAGCAACTTTGGTTGTGAAATCATTAGATTATTGTTGATATTGTTTCGCTTGAAGGCATGTATGCGGTGTAAGATGTTTGCTATCCTTTGCCCAGGAAAATGTTTGTCCTTTCATCAGGTGTCCGGAGCAGCACAAGCCTTGCACTTCCAAAAGTACAATCTTTGGTGGTCAATGAACGCCAAAAAGGTGAAGAAGAGCGTGAGGAACCGTCTTCGGTGGTCGGAAGAGACATGGGGTCGCAACATTGACCAATGTTGCCTCTTTGTCTGGGGCTATCAACCAGTGCAAAGCAGACACGAAGGTCTTTGAGCTGGGGTTGGTATGCTTTTGAGGTCTTATTTGTTTCTCATAAAGTCTCAATGAGTTTGCTTTTGCGAAACCTTCGGTGATTAAGGTGACTGAGGATATGCTGGAAGGGATGCGGGTTAACTTTTTGCATGGGACCCTCGGCTATACACATGTTTCTTGTGTGTTTTATCCACCTCAAATGTTGCATACTTTCTTGACATCCAGGGACTACAGCCAAGACTTTGATGCCATTCTGCTTGCAAAGCCAACACGGCTGAATGTGCAGAGTCTATCCATGTACCAGGATCATGTGGCAAAGGTGATTTCCCAGAAGCTTGCAAGTGACACTACTGATACGAACGTCGAGGTTGAGGATGCTGAGGACCCATCATGTGTTTGTTGAAATTGGAGTGGAGGCTGAAATCTCTATGGCCTGTTCTTTTGAGTGCCAAAACAATTCAGGAGCATTTGAAGGCAGCAGAGTACAAGGTCACCATCACGAGCCTGAACCATGACTTCAAGGAGGCTGTGGCGTTCAACCAGCGACGTTGCAAGGTGGGGGCAACGCAAAAAAATACACATTGAAGTCATCACCGCAAGACAACCATTCATGTTTTCAGGTTGATGGCAGCCGTCATGTAGCAAATGCACTTCAGCTTAAATTTTGGAGCTCCAAATGAAATGATTGACGTGAAATGAAATGAGTCCTATGAGTCCTGATTTTCTAAGGTATTGCACATGCGTGACCAAATAGAGATCGGCTTTGGGGGTTTGCGAGAAGTTCATGGAGAAACGCTGCCTCCTGCTTCGTCAGATGGACAAATCATCTTTGACCTCTTTTGTCAGGCGAGTACTCACTGATGCAAATCAGAAGTTCCAGAACGTGCAGGTCGATAAGATGCATCACATCGGAGTGATCGATTTGTCGAAGTATGGGCGCCTCACAGTGCCTGACATAAATGAAGCTGCTCAGTGGTCGCACAACATCCTCTCACTCAATGAGCAATTCAGCGCCTTGCAAGTGATGGCTTTCATGTGATTGCTTTGGATGCTGTTTGGGTTTTTGGTAAGAGATAAGTAAAACAGGCATGGTGCTGGTGGTCTGTCCTATGTTGGCTGGTGAAGCCATCTTGGGTGGATTGCGTGGCGAGAACCGCCGGATCGAGGATAAGTTTGACCAGATGGGGATGGAAATGAAACAGGTCCAGATACTCCTGGACTTATCATCACAGCAGGCAAACAGGACAGTCACAATGTACAATATTACAATGTACAGTCTATGCGCTTGAGTGTTTTGTTTGTGTTCAATTCTTTGTTCCTGTTCAACATGGTGGCTTGAAAGGACAATGCCCCAAAGTCTCAGTGCATGGATGGTGGTATTGGACAAGACCCTTGGTTCACGCATGACGCTCTACAAAGCACCCCGTGGGTCTGAGCGAGAGCTCAAGGATGCAAACGCCTTTTGCAAGAACGACTTTTGGTCGCTGGTTGTTTGCCAACCATCTCAGCCTCTTCTTCCAACGGAGTATGTCACCCCAGAAAGCGGTACATTCTTCAGCCATGAACAAGGAAGGTCATTGACTGAGCCTGTTTGGCAATTAGTTCTATTTTTAATTTTCTATTTGAAGAATCCTGTTCTTTTAGAGGTTGTTTCATATACACTAATCATATGTCAGGACAAGCAGGAAACTGCTCAGTGGTTGGCAAGCCCATCTACCATCAGGGCTATATTGGAAGCCTGCCTGTCAAGGGTCAGCTCCTTGAAGGGCCAGACCTGCATCATCCACCACAAGACGATGTATGAAGGCAATCTGGAAAAGGTTGGTGGGGTGAAAACAGATGGTTGAAAGATTATTATTTGGTATTCTAGAAAGCTATGATACAGTTGATTGGAACTGTTCTGGTTGTGCTATTTCCTGCCAGGTGGTATGTGACTTGATGATGGAACTCCAAGATTCATGCCACCTTTCCTGCTTCAGTGAGACGGGGAACCCTGATGCTTTCAACTATTCAGTCACCCAAGTCAAAGACAAATTGCTTGAGGACAGGTATTAGTTTTCTTTTCTGTCAGTGCTGAGTTTATGTTGTTAGGGTTTGCTTCATCTTAACCACATGGGAAGGAATGGAAAGCTGGTCGTGGTTTTGTCGGGTCTATGCAGCCCAAGTTTGTGCCTGAGCCAGATGTCAGTGACATTCGTGAACCTGTACGTCCGCCTCTCAAGCTATGCACAATGTCTGCAGATGGGATTTTGGCAATTCCCAATGCCGAGCGTGAGAAGTGGCTGGCAGATCCAGTTCGCAGATGCTTGGACCATGTCATTATTGTTTTTATGTTTGTATTTTTTGGATGGCAGTATGTTATTATGTTGTGTTTTAGTTGTTTTGTTGGCATCCAAGACCCGGATTGGAGAACACGATTGGCAAACTTTGATGCTGTCTTCAGTCCTGCTGCCAGTGGACAGCAGCAGCAACAGCAGGCTGCTGCAGCCAATACTTCCACAGCAGAAGTAGACCTTGCAACGCCAGTGGTCCAGCCTGTGCAAAGCCAGTGTGCAACTCCTCCGCACATGACTTCAGATGAGTTCAAGAAGCGGTATCCTGAGATCACTTGCAGCGTGACCATCAACATGGGTGCACAGTCGATCACGTGCCACTATGCGGACAACAAGATCTTTCTTGTGTGTACAGCGAACTTCCAAATTCCGGGAATTTTGAGTCCAGATGCTCGTCCTATCTTTCTATATGCTGGAGGCACTTGGATCTCAGACAGTTCAAAGGCTGGGGGTGTGCATGTATGGTGTTGGTGTTGTGCGTGTCAGATTTTGGTTTCGGTTTGTTATCTAAAGGATGTTGGTGTGGTTCTTGTCTTTATTTGACCACATCAGGCGAAGGATTTCTTGAGCAAGGAGACCAATGCAAACAAAGCTGTGGAATTCCATTTGGAGAGTTCTCAAGACATGGATGCCAAGCTGAGCTTGCTTTGTCACAAGTTTTTAGTTTGTAGTGTTCTTTTCCCACTATTTTCCCTTGAGTGTTGGTTGACTAAACCTTTGTTGCCAAACTATGTGAGGTGGTGCTTGAGGAGACAGGTTCCTCTGGTGTATCTGACAGTAGCCCGATGACCCTCTATGCTTTGTTGACTATGCTGGAGAAGCGTGGTGTCTTAGATGCAAAGCTCACCGGCCACAAAGTGGAGCGTCCACCAGAGGTGGTTCGTGGAGAAGCTTCAGATTCCATTACCATCGCCCATGAGGCTTTCAGTGTGTTCAGGCCAAACCCAGTGGCACAGGTGAAGCAGGTCAAGGCAAGCAATATTGCTGGATTCATTGGTTTGCGCGCGCTCACCAGCTCCAACTTCATTACATTGGCCTGGCGACCCTTAGCATTAGAAACGATTGGCTATATACCAAAATTGTGTGAATTCCTGTTTTCAAATTGAAGTTTTGACTTTGCTGTTTGATATTGCTTTTGCCTCAGGAATGAGACATTATGCTCGGGAAAAGGTTCTCGGGCCAGCAAAGCCCTTGTGGTACGTCAAAGGATCAGGGTGGGCGATGGAAGCAAACACCGTGTACCAAATTGTTTGAGAGATTCAGATGCTCAGTGGAAATCACTGTGCGCAGTGATCTTGGGTTGAGCAACCTTTTTGGCAAGGTTTGATGTTGCCAGAGCGCAGCATATTTAGCAGCAGCAACGAGGTGATGTGTGGAAAAGAGAGTTGTACACAATGATTTTCACCAATGGATATGTTTTCAGATTGATTTGGGCTTGCAGTCTTGGATGTGTCCTTGCTTTGCTCAAAGCCTATGGGCTGGACATTTTGCTAACAGGGTTTCCGTCGAGCGCGTAGCCTCTCCAGTCATAATGAATGCTGAACATGGGGTCATTGAGGTGGAGTGTGAGACTTCTCCAGGGAACACCTCACTAGTGGCCAAGCACATGCGACCTGTGGTTCAGTCCTCGATGGCCACATTTGGGTTAGGTAGGCCAGTTGAGACTCAAAGTGCTGTGCTTGAGGCTGTCCAGTCAGCCAACCAGTCTTGTCAGCGCTCAGACTCCGAAAGGACATTGGTCCTCGGTGAGAGTCCAGGACCTCGACGAACACCGGCTCCACTCATGTTCAAGCCAAGTCTGACCTTGGAGAAATTTATCCCTCAGGCTCTTCCTGTTCCTTGGTTTGGTCACTCGTTTGATGTTCCTTGGTTTGATGTTGTTTCTGCTCCTGGTTTATGCTCCAGGTTGTGCCACCTGTGGAAGCTGGTATTGTGCAGAAAGAATCGCCCCTCAACCGAAGTTTGGCTGCGGCGTTTGCTGCTGAAGCATCACCTTCCGACCTTCATTTGCTGAAGTCAGATGGTTATGGCAGTGGTGAAGTTGAAGATGAGTTGAAGCTCAATGGCGATGGTGGTTCTCAAGGTGTTGATGCACCTTTTCCAAATGGACGAATGGAAACTTGGAAGTACAATAATGCAAAATCATTATTTTGCGCATGCCACCCAAGAGTTTTCATTCTTTGCATATTCATGTTAGCAGTCATGAGTCAAAGGCTGATCTCTTTGATGATGGCAACCCATCTATTTCTGCTGATGCCAAGCCTGATGAATCAGGGCAACCATCAGAGGCTTTGGTTTGTCATGAACCTCTTGCGTTCCTTTTTCAAAGGTTTCTAAAGGTTGAAAGTTGGTCAGTTTCTCAAACGTTTAAAGTTTGTCATTTTTGATGAAATGGAGGTGGATGAACTTCTTGAAGATGCTCAGCCTGTCGAATTTGTTCCTGCTACACAACCACGACTCCGTAGGTTGCGCAGACTTTGTGACCAGCCAATGCCAGCAGAAGATGAACATGAAGAAGAAAAGGAGGTTGGGTGTTGGGAAAATTACTAATACAATGTGTTCTGTGAAGTGTTTCATTAAAATCCAGCTATATATATAATACTAAAATAGCGTTTGTGGCTCTCCCTGACAGGGCCATACCGTGAAAAAGCAGAAATTGATCATTACTGCTGATATGTCAGAAGATCAAGTTGCTGAGATTCAGAAGCTTCGGGCAGAACGCCGGCGAGAGGAGTCCCGCAATTGGCACAAGCAGTTTGCGAGCAAGGGTGTTTCTCTTCTTTATATGGTTTTTGGGTTTTGAATCTGTGTTTTGAATCTGTGTTTGTTTGATGTGATTCCCCCTGTTTCTTGTGTTTTCAGACCATGCAAGGTTCCCAGAAGCAGCTCTCAGCAGCAAGCAGCAGCAAAGCCCAAAGCAGCTCCCAAGGTGAAAGCGGCTCCCAAAGCAAAAGCTTCATCGTCCAAAGGTTCCCCAATGCATGAAGCACGCTGGGCATTTGCAACTCAACGTCAGAGTTTGGTTTTGTTTGAACTTTTTTGCATGATGTTCTATTCAAAAATCATTACCCATAATGACAACTTTTCAGATATGATGTGAAACCCAGCAACTCAAGGTGCGCAAGTTCTTTGAGCAGAACCCGGGTTCCAAAATGGTTGCTGCAAGTGAAGCATGGATGAAGTCTTCTGAGCGGGCATCTTTGATGGCTGCAAAAGATGGAATCCAAATGTAGTTCCAGTCCTATGATCTTCGTGGGTTGCACATGTGAAATCATGTGTTTTTGGGATGTCATCCGCATCCCTATGATGAAACATGATGGGACCATCAATGCTCCTGGGGGGAAAAAATATTGCTGGAGAAATGAACATGAGGACAGGAAACATTATACCCAAGTTCATTTGATTGTTTGAGTATGAAACAGTGATGGTTTGTTTGGCGGATGATTTGCACTGCAAATTTTGACTCGAAACTATTTCTGACTCATGACCGGTTCTTGTGCACAACCATGCCGTTGGGACAACGCACGTTGGACATCATCGAGTGTTTGGAGGGCATCAAACATGAACAACTGTGCATCTCGTGTGGGATGGTCTATGTTGAGACCTTTATCACCAAGTGGCTTTTTCTAAAGAAACATTGCGCAGATGTATTTGGCAAACTGTGTTGCTAGTTTTGGACAGTTTGGGCAGCATCCATTTTTTACAAACCCAGGTCAGACTGGAACCAGCTGAAAACTATTTCTGGTGATTGTTGCTGTGATCAACGCAGTGCGGCAATTGCACGTGAGGAAGAACTTGAGCGGAGCAGGTTAAATTTAGTTGACCCAAACGAGGTCAACAGTTCACAGTGAACACTTTTCAACATGATTGCTCTTGCAAAACAAGTGTGTGCTGTGTGCGCTCAGTGGCTGCTATGGGGAGACATACACAGACCATAAGCGACCTTTGCAAAACACAACAAAGCATTACATTTTAACCAAGTTCCAAAAGATAAGGTGCCATGTTTTATTTCCAAATCCCAGGACCACCCTCACCCTGCACTTTTTCCCCCAAGCAATGTAGACGCCCTTAGGGGTTCTTATGGTGAGTGAAAAGCAGCTGTGCTTAGATCGCTGTGCTGCACGGCTGTGACCGGCTAATTTGCTGCTATTTACAGTACATTCATGCCTCTTGAACTCCTCCAAGTGCATTTCGCCTGTGCAGGCTCGCAAAATCTGGGTGGCCGTGACGGGTGCTTCTAGCGACATAGTTTCCACATCCCACCCACATGTCTCTTGATATGTCCAAACTTGTTTGCTTGGCTTGCTAGCCACCGAGTAACATGGCTCTTGGCCTCCTGATACTTCCAGACTTTGACAGCTGATTACTTTGAATTGACAGCTGGTTACCACGAATTCAACTTGTAGGTTGGAGGCCGTGACTAGTAGGTTGGAGGCCATTGCTAGTAGG